TTATCTTATTCATTAAATTTATTGGTACATTTTCAGGATATAATATAACATTCATCATTGAGAATTTGTAATTCACATGATATATCTTGGTTCTTTTTTTGCCATTCCCCTGCCCTCCCTTCAACTCCTCAACCCCTCCCTATTGACAAACACTTTGTTTCCATTTTTCTTTTCCTCGTGTAATAACATGAATAGTCATCAAAATTCAGAACTGTCTCCTAGCAAAATTCTACATCCTTTTATAATTAAAACTATACATAGGGGGATCTGAGCTCAGTGTAACAAAGGCCATATATGACCAATACAAAGGCAAGATACTGAAGGAAAAGGATGAAACCATTTACTCCAAAATCAAGAATGATCAACAGATAGAGGGAATAGAAAAGGAGAGAAGACCAAGATAGGAAAAGGATTAGCATATATCATATACATGTACTACCCACTAGCCACAAAGAATATTATCATTATGTACTGCAAACATTCACTAATAAAAATAAAATAAAGTAAAATAAAATCTGGTGTTATGTCTACATCTAGATGTTCCCACAAAATCCTGATGTTCTCAAAAGTGGAGCTTTTGAAAGATGATTTGACTATGGGGCTTATACCTGACTTGCTGTTAGGAGGTGTGGGGCATGGTCCAAAGAGACCAATCACTGGGGATGTGGCCTGGAAGGGTTTATCTTCCTCTCTCATTTGTTCTCTGCTTCCCAACCTACATGCTGGAGCAGCTCTCCTCCACTGTGAGCCTCTGCCATTCTATCCTGCTTGATGCCAGCTGACTACAGACTAAAGCATGAGCCAAAGTAAATCTTTCCTCTTTAAAGTTACAGATGTTTGGTGTTTAGTTACTTTTCTTGTCGTTGAAATGAAATACCCCATACCTATAGTTAAAGGAGGAAAGGTTTATTTTGGATCACAGTTTGTAGTGGTTTCAGTCCATAGCTGGCTGGGTCCAAACAAGGATGACATTGCAGAGGGGCATCACAGAGGAGAAAGAGTCCATGGCAGAGTAGATAGAAGACAGCAGCAGCAAAGCAGCAAGGGGTAGCCTTCTTTCTGTCCTTTTTTATTCCATCCCAGCTACCTACCTTTTCAGTGGTGCCACCCAAACAAGATGGGACACTGTTAATTCCAGCATCACACGTCCTAGATCCAGCCACCTCCAAAAAGCCCCATCTATGATTGCATGATGATTGGAAGGGGCATCTAGATATAAGCTGTAACATTGTGTACCATGTCTCAGTGATAACAAGTTTGCTAAAACATCAGGAATGATACAAAGGTGCCTGTTGTCACCACACATGCTCATTATAATACTTATTAAAATTTTGGCCAAAGTAATTAGGCAAGAGAAAGAAACGAAATGGATAAAAAGGAAAAGATAAAGTCAAATGATTATTTCCAGATAATATGATTTTTGAAGAGATAAAAAAACTCTGTACCATCCCTGTTTATACCAGAGTAGTATGCCACATTGGATAGATACCATAATGTCTTTATCCATTCATCTGTTCATGCATGTGTTTTATTGTTACAGCTACAGTATATGTAATTGTTTTCTTAATTTCTTTTTCAGATAGTTTGCTGCTAGTTTAGAGAACTGCAACTGATTTTTGTATGTCCATTTCATATTTTTCAAATTTATGGCCCTTTTTTATTTCTGAGAGTTGTTAGTGTAGTATCTAGAGTTTAATATATATAGGATGATGATATCTGCAAACAGATACAAATTGACTCACTCTTGTGAAATTTGAGTTTCTTTTTTTCATTATTTTCACAATTGTTATGAGAACTTCCAATACTATGTTCAATAGAAGTGCTGCATGTAGCTATCTTTTTCATCTTCCAAATGTTGGAGAAAAATCTAATTTCTCTCCATTGAGTATGAGGATGGCTGCTAGGTTTTTTTTTTTTAATATATGCATAATTTTAGTGTGGAGTCTCATTCCCTCTGTACTAATTCTGTTGAAAACTTTATTTAAAAAGTTATTGAAACTAGAAATGTGGTTAAAAGCAGTGTCTTTTTTGCAAGTAGCTGCTTATTGATAAAAGATTAAATGTCAATTTTAATAAATCTGTAAAAACAATAATATGTTTATTTTGGTAAAGGTTTTATCTTTATTTCAATGTTCATGTTTTTTTTTAATCTTTCATTTGTTTAATGAGAAGTTTCTGGAAGGCCATGTGGCAACACCCCTGGAAACAGCTCAATAGCCAGCAACTGGTGACTGGATAAAGAAGATGTGATTATTTTTTATGAAATGGAGTACTACTCAGCCAAAAAGAATGAGAAACTGGAGATATTTATAGCTAAATGGATGCACATT